GCTATAAATCGTCTACAATTCAATGGGATTTAACAACAACAACAACTATGCCTGTCATCACTCTCATCACTCTGTACAATCACATAATTGAATATTATATGACATTATGGAGCAACGATTTTGTAAAATACTGTATAACTTGGGAGAGAGTAGAGAGCATTTTGCTGAGTGAAATATCTCAGTCATATAAGGACAAATATTGCATAAGGTCACTATTGTGAAATTAGGAAGATAACTAAGTAAGATTTTCTTACTTTTATTCTTCTCTTAATGCTCTCCCCTTACTCCACCTGCAACAGAGGCCCCTTAAACTGGTATCGAAACATGGACAGGAACTGGAAGTGGGGCTGCAAAGCCGTGGGACGTAAGGTGAGTGCTGAGTTTAATGACTTTCTCTCTCTGAGTCATTCCTGGGCTTCCCATGCTCTGACCTGAAATGACTGGTAAAAGCTGCCAGTAGATAGATTGGTGTGAGCTTTCTCATTTCCTGTGCTGCTTCCTCTGAGGTTTCTGAAGGTATCTCCACTTAAGGGTTTCCCTCAGAATATCTTTTTTTATGATGTTCCTCTTAGAATGATAAAGGGTGGTAAAAGGGACAGAACAGGGCCATGTTTAGGTCCCTGCAGAATCCATCTGCTGTGCCCAGGTCTCCTGGATCTTCCTCGGGTTAGGCAGCAGATGGCCCAGGCCAACTCTCCCAAGGATTATTCTAAAGAAGACTCCCAAAGGCAATATGGGGAATGGAGCCCAGGATTTGTAGGAGACTTAGATGTTCTCAGATAGACTTTAGAGGCCTGATCAAGTCATTATTTTGATTCTGAGTTTTCATTTTTATCTACCAGAAGATGGATTTCTAGTCTCTGGATCTGCAGAAATTCTAATGAGATCCCCTACTCAAACTCAAAATGTTTAAAAAAAATTGCATTTTTCACAGTGAGATTGTGCATTCAGTCAGATTTTTATTGGTTCATTTGGTAATTCAGTTATGTCCCTGGTTCATTCAAATATGGACATCTACTTTAGATCTTGAAGCACTTGTTGCAGAAGATCAAAGAATGCAGCCTTCAGTATGGATTACATCTCAATATCAAGAAAACAAAGATTCTTACCACTGGATTCATTACCACTGGCAGCATCATGATGCATGGAGAGAAAACTGAAACTGTAAACAAGTTCATTTTATGTGGATCCACAATAAACACCCTTGGTACCAGGTGCCAGGAAATAAGGAGATGCATTGCACTGG